TGGGTGGAGGGTTTTTATCTATAAAGTGGAAATAATAACTGCCCTCCCTATGCCAGAGGATGATTATGAGGAATGTATGAAACCAGAATATTGTGGGGAATTAGAGTAGGATTTAGCATAGCAGAGAAATGGCAAACTCTGCTGCATTTGAAGCCGGCTTGGCCACTATGATAATAATATCTCTCAGCCTCTCTTTACTTATTTGTAAAATGAAGTGTTTGGCCCATAGTGCCTCCTTGCTCCAGGACTGTGGTTATAAAAGGAAAGGTACAAAGCTTATTAGATAGGAGGTCCTATTGCCCTTCCACTTTGAGTACACTGCCACCAATGTGATGAAGAGCAAAGAACATTAAATTTGGAGCCAGAGCATGTGGGTTCAGATCTCAACTCTGCTTTTTCCTGACCTCTGTGACTTTAAGCAAATTACTTCACTGATTTGGGCCTCAGTTTCTAAAATGAGGGAATTGGACAAGGTGATCTCTAAAAGCACTTCTGTTGCTCGGTCTTGCTGTTCTGTACAGCTAGCCCAAAACCATACTTTATGTGTTTCACATTGGTTCAGGGTGGGGTGGATGCTCAGGCTGGTTCCAGGGTAGCACAGGTTCCATATTGGGCAAAATATGGTAACCATAGAGAATTTAACAGTTAACCAAAAGAAATTTACTTAGCTGTAGCCTATAAAGGATAGTGAAAAAGAGTATATCAGCATTTCAGCTTGTGTAGAAACAGTTCTCCTCTCCAAATGGAAATTCGTGTAGTTAGCAGGGCAGATGTGATCTTGGGACATCTGCTAAGTGTGAAGGGACCCAACTTGAGGTGTTGGGCATTTTTGTGCCTTTAGTTGACTAGGGAGTCACATCATTATTGTCACAGAAGATTATCAAGGGAAACATAGCTTGAATGACCCTCTCCTTGCCACCCCCTCCCCCACCTCCAAGTCTGGTACAATTAAGTTCAGGGACAGCTGTGTCACCTTTTAGGGGAAAAAAACAAAAAACAAACTAGCCTAGTTCTTGCTGCAGAGAGAAAGGGAAAACTTGTTAGTTATTGGTACTATCACAAATATCTCATCCTACCAACCATCTTGGGTATCTTCTTGCCATCTGTCCTGCCAATGTGCACTCATGCCCTCTTTACCTCTCTCCCTGTGTTCTCCATTTCTGGCTGTGGGAATAGTAATCAAACCCATACTACCATTACTACTGGAAAACTATGCCAACTGACTCCCCTCTGACTCCACTCACTATCCCTGTGACTTCCTAGATCAGTACATCAGCCCCTAATGTGTGTTGTCTCCCTTCACTAGAATATAAGCTCCTTGAGGAAAGGGACAGTGTTGCCTTTGTATCTGTAGTCTTGGGGTTAACACAGTACTTATTATAAGATAAGTGCTTAAGAAATGATTTTCATTCATAGCTTCAAATCTGTGTTCCACTGAACAAATCTAGTACAATCATATGGTCTCTAATCTATAAAGTATGTGATTTTTTTGGAGATTTTAATTTTGTTTTAAATTATTTAAAAAAATGCTCAAGGTATGTGAATATATCTTTTTGCCCATGTCCTAACTATTCCTTGCTCTTAAACATAATTTTAAAGTGACAATCTTGCTTCCACTCCATGCCAAAAATCTTGCTCGGTAATTTTTTCTAAATTTTCTAGGCTTTGTGTTTTGTTTAGTTAGGGCCCCTCTAACTTTTTTCTTTACCAAAAGCCTTTTTCCCACCTCTGGCTCTTTTCTCAGTTTTTTTTAAAAGGAAGCTAAAAGGAAAAAAAACCAAAACAAAACCACAGTGCCCCTGTGACCCTCTGTACGGTCACTTCTCTTGTTCCTGTTATTTTGTCTTACAAGGAGGATGCAAAAGGCTCTCTACTAATATCTTATTTTCCCAGCAAGAAAGAAACATTTTCCCACTTTACTGTCTAGGAAAGATTGTAGGATCAAAGGATTTATAACTAAAATGGACAAGAGATAGAATAGTACTCTTCCTTTTCTTTCTCCCTTGTCTTTTAAAATTAAATTTACGTAAGATCTCTGACCTGACTTAGCTAACAGTCTTTTACCATGTTGCCCTTAGGATTTGGCTTTAGGTACTGCTGCAGTTATGCAATTTAAAGTGACCACATCTTTCACAATAGAACAGAAATTTTTAAGCAAGAAATTAACAATAAACTAAACAAAAACATTGAAAAATAGTGAATATATTAATGTACTTCACTAATGTATTCATGTACATTACACATTAATGTATTATCACATTACTATATTTTAGGGAAAGCAGAAGGGAATGTGCACTCATATAGCTCCTACTATCTGCTTGGCACTGTGCTAAGCACTTTATAAATACTGTTTTACTTGATCCTCACAACAACCTAACACAGTAGGTGCTATTTTTTGCCGTCCTTTTAAAGTTGAGGATACTGAAGCAAACAGAGGTTAAATGACTTGCCCAAGATTCCACAGTTAGTTAGAGGAAGTATTTGACTCATGTCTTCCTATCAACTATACCACCTTTCTGCCTTGTTTCAGGCTGGTAAATTTGATTCTGTTTACAATGGAAAAATTAGGATCACCAGGTCTGTAGATTCTTTAACTCTGGTTCATGCATTAAACCTTGGTACAGGAACAATGTCAGTTAATTTCAATCTGTAAGAAGATGTGGAGTTATGGTTAGGTATAATTACATTTCCCTGCCTTTGTAAGTAAAGTATATTGGACTTAACTGGACTTTCTTCTACAGCTGAAAGTATTGGAATTATTTTTGAAATATCAATCTTATTGTATAGCACTATAGATGTGTATGTAAACAACATTTAGCCTGAATAACAGTAGCTGAAGTTTATATAACATTTTCAAGATTGCCAAGTACTTGCATATATTTTCTTATCTGAACATGTAGAAATCCTTAGGAGGTTGGGTTGTTTTTTTTTTGTTTGTTTGTTTGTTTTTGTTTTTTGTTTTTTAAAGAACATATTAACTCCCTATACTTTTTTTCATAGAATTAGATGGTTGAGAAATTTTAGTTATTTGAGGGTTTTGCTAAGTATTCTGGTTAATTGAGATTTATATTACAATGTTTTGAGCTAGAAGGGACAAGGATATTTAGTGAATTCTACCACATTTCAGTGCTCTAGATGTGCTTTAAAAATACTTGCCCTCACAACTGAAGTAGATTGCCAGTGGTATCAAGCAGAGGAAAGAGTTATGAATCAGGCATCCCGGGATGTGGATATCTATCTACAAATTCTGCTTAGTTGAGTGACTGTGAGTAGGCTCTCTGATACTGTGGTCTATGGTCTCAAAAAGCAAGAAATGTGCTGTGCCCTCGATGCCATCCACTCTTGTCTTTGTCAGGACCTCCTCTTTCTCTTCCCTTCATTTTTTCCTTTTCTACTGGTTACTTCCTCCTCGTTAAAAACACTGCCTAAGTCTTAAAAAAAATCTTTCTTGACCCTGAAATCCCCCCAAGTTTATCATCCTGTATAATCTGCTGACTTTCACAGTATAGAAAACAAACAAAAAACTTGTGTTTCATTCCATTGTCTCCCCTCCCATTCACTTTTCAACTCCTTGCTACCTGACTTCTGACCTTATCTCTCTGGTAAAATTTCCCCGTACAAGTTTATCAGTGATCTATTAACTGCTAAATCCAAAGTGACTGCCTATCATTCCTCAGATTTTGGCCTCATCATTGACTTTTCCTCTTTCTCGGGGCCATATCTAATCAGCTGCCAAGGGTGTGTGATCACTGATCGAGAGCTCGAAAGGGACCTTAGACTTCATCTCGTCCAGCTCCCTCCTTGTGTTGTTGTTCAGTCATTTCAGTCGTGTCTAACTCTTCATGACTCCATTTGGGGTTTTCTTGGCAAAGACACTCGAGCTTATTTTACAGAAGAGGAAACTGAGGCAAACAGGATTAAGTGACTTGCCTAGGGTCACATAATTAGTAAGTGTCTAAGGCCAGGCTTGATGTTCTATCCACTGTGCCACCTAGCTGCCCCTCATTTTATAGTTAATGAAACTAGCTCCTAGGAACATTGAATTACCTGCCTGAGGTCACACTGCTGAAACAATTAAAGCTTGGTCTGATATCGAAGATACTGAAGTCATCTGCTGCATCTGGGGCAGTCCTTAGTTTTGTCTTGCCACTGGATTTCATGACTTTGGGAGAGAGAGTGAATCTGATGACTGTGCAACTCTGCCTCACTTAAATCCAGTTCACTCACAAGTCAAGACATCACTCAGTGATGTCATTGGCCCTCTTTGAAAACAAAGGACAAAAAAAAAAAGATGATACCATTCCTTTGCCATAATTCTTGCAGGCAGCTAGGTGCCATAGTGGATACTATGGCCCTGAAGTCAGAAGGACCTGAGTTCAGATCTGGCCTCAGACCAAACACTTGACACTTACTAGCAGTGTGACTTTGGGCAAGTCACTTAACCTCAATTGCCTAAAAAAATAAAAAAGTAAAAAAAAAAAAGAACTCATCTGCCCTTTTGGGGTAGCTAGGTGGCACAGTGGATAGAGCACCTGCCCTGGATTCAGGAGGACCTGAGTTCAAATCTGGCCTCAGACACATAACATTCACTAGCTGTGTGATTTTGGGTAAGTCACTTAACCCCATTGCCTGACCAAAAAAAAAAGAAAAGAAAAAAAAAAGAAAACAGAGCAACAACAAATATGCTACTTCATCCGTTTATTTCCTCTTGCTGGGATTATTGAAATAGTTTTTTTAAAAGTTGGCCTTTCTTTTCTAATTAATTAATTAATTAATTAATGTTTAGTTTTCAGCATTCACTTCCATAAGATTTAGACTTCATTAGAAAGTTATTAGAATAGTCTTTAATTTAGAAAACAACTATGGAAAAACTTAAAATATCTGGGTTAGTATAACTTTGGCTGTAATGAGGTGTAATTAGATTGTTATGTATTTGCTGATTGGAGTCTTGTTAGCCTGTTAGAACTGTATATATTAAACTGTTTTGTCTACTTGTGTAGATGCTGCTGACAGAGTATTTGGATATGAAGAACACTCGAACAGCTTCTGAACCATCAGCTCAGCTGAGTTATGCCAGCACGGGACGGGAATTTGCAGCTTTTTTTGCCAAAAAGAAACCTCAAAGGCCAAAAAACTCTCTCTTTAAGTAAGTACTAAGAAGGAGATAGGAGCGATTGTTACATACTGAAACCCAATGGGACTTATAAAGTTGCTTGACAGTAAAATACAATATTCATTTAAAGCATTGGTTTGAATGATGTCATAGTAAGTTGATTTCTAAAGGCTTTCTTCAGTTCTTTCTACTATTGTTCATTGTTAAAGCTGTAGTGTTTGAGTCTTGGAATATCTTCACTGTTTAATAAAAAATTCAAGGAGCCTTGGGGAAATTAATGGGAAAGGAATACTCTACCTTCTGAGAAAATCCCTAATCCTAAGTAGTTACTCTTTTTAATAAAACTCCACAATATTTATGTTCTTTTGTGCTCTTTGGACATAATATTAATTGGTCAAAGTAGAATTTCTTTCCCTTTTTTACCTTTTCAATCCTGTTTGCCTCAGTTTCCTCATCTATAAAATGAACTGGGGTAGGAGATGCCCAGTGTCTTTGCCAAGAAGACCCCAAATGAGGTTATTAAGAGTTGGACACAACCAATTGACAAAAAAAACCCCTCCTTTCTTTCCTTTTCTTTAATATTATTTAGGAAAAATTCCTTCATTATTATTTTTTGTTATAACTGATTTATTAACATACACATACTTCTCTATTCCATTGGACACAAATGGAACACATACTACCTGTTTTTTTCCATATAGTATATGAATCAGAAATGAAGTTAAGATTTTGTTTTTGTTGTTGTTTTTAAAAAATTGAGTTTATATTTGTTGTATAGTTGAGCCTTTTGTACTCTTTACTGACTCAGTTTTGGAATCAATATGCATTTTGCATTTTTTAAAGAGTTGAATTTACTTACTTTGAGGTGTGTTCTTTTCTCTTTTCCATAGGTATTATTCAGTTACATATAAGAACTAGATAACTTTGGCATGGTTAGTGTACTTCATGCCTTTTACCTGTCTTTATCTGAGCATATTAGGCAGTTTTAATTTAATTAGTTAGGCAGTTTTTAGGCAAAAGATTCTTGACCTCTAATTCTCAGCCCCAGGTTTCACACACATTTCTAACATATCCATGATCTTCCTGACATTGTAAGTCATTGACTCTTAGCAGGTAGAAAGGATTACAGAGTTTCAAAAAAATCTTCAGGTTATGAAGGGTTAACAGGTTGGTGAAATCCCATTATTCTCAAGTGCAAGAAGTACTTTATTATCTATCATTAATTGTCTCTAGCTAAGGTTAATTGTGTGTATTTAACAGCTATCCTCTCTTAGCATGTTTGTCTTTCCTTTCCCTTTTCACAACCCTACTTTTCTCTTGTCCTCTGGCCAGTAGCTTTCAGTTTGCTTTTTGGAGGTCATTCCTATCTTTTCTCCAATTGACTGGCAGGTAGCATGTTATGGTAGAAGCAGCCCATACTACCATACATCAGACTTTTGTGCCTGTCTGTTTATTCCTTTCCATTGTCTGTGAATGACCTTTCTTAGTCCTCCAGTTCTTAGGTTAAAAAAATGATGGTGCAACTCCTCTATAATGGAAACCTAGCTTGTTATCATTCCTGCTCTTGTCCTTTACCCCCTAGTTGAAACAAACCCCACCAATGGATTCACTCTTCACTTGCCATTCTAGTTGTGTCTGACTCTTCCTGACCACAAGGACAAATGTCCATGGGATTTTCTTGGCAAAGATACTGGAGTGGTTTGCCATTTCCTTCTCCAGGGACAAACAGAAGTCAAGTAATTTGCCCAAGGTCACGCAGCTAGGAAGTTTCTGAAACTGGATTTGAACTCAGGTGTTTCTGATTCTAAGCCCAGCTCTCAATTCACTGCACCACCTTGCCTTGCCTCCTTACTTTGTCTTGTCTCTAGCTTTCCTTTTTTTATTCATTGTTTCAGATTTCAGGAACCTATTCGGTTTTGTTTTGCATCCTTAGTTTTGATTTAAGACCCTGAATATTTTTCTTATGTTATTTATTATTTCAGATTTTAGGAATCTATTCAGTTATCACATGAATTCTCTCTTTCTGTACCTCCTTGTACAGGGCGCTTAGAAGGTAGATAACAACATCTTCTGAACTTTGTTGTTATGAAACTACTTTTGTGGAAGATAGAAATATCCATTTTACAATTCTGTAGAAGTGTTTTATTTGATACTTGGTAGAACCAAAAGTGAATGGTATTTTAGTAGATATATTATCTTGAGGGCTTTAAATTTTTGGCTTCATTTTTGGGGTAGTTAGTTAACAATATTTCCAAAGTACTGCTGATAAACAGAAGCCTCCTGAGAATGACAAAAGCGGAGTTGTTGTCCAGTAACAGAGAGCAGGAGTCTTAGGTGAGGGACAGCTGTGACATACTGAATCTTTCTGAACTGGGCAGTGATATGTTCATAATGACATGTAAAATGACCATTATTGCTCCACAATTCTGATCATGGCACTCCCCTGCTCAAAAATCACCAGTCCCTCGTTAGTGCATCTAGAATAAGGCTGCAGCTTGATGTAGTGTTCTACAGTCTGACACCAATCTCTCTTGGCAGTTATATTTTATATTACTTCTCTCATTGTAGCTGGCATTTCCATTCCCTGATACTTGGTGCTTTTGTATAGGCCATCCCCTATCCTCTTCTGTGCTCTGCGTGTTAGGATCCTTAGCCTCTTTCAAGGCTTGGTCCAACAGGATGCCTTTCTTGGTCCCCTAGTTATTAGGTTTCCTCTAGCCTCTAATTTCCTTGTATTTATTCAGTATTGTTTGTTGGCGGAAATGTGGTTTTGTGAGGAGAGTATTGAGCCTGGAGGTAGAAAAACCTGTGTCCGGATCCTGCCTGTGACACTTTCCAATTGTTTGACCATGACTGGATTATTTAAGTTTTCCGAGCTGCTGTTTCCTCCTCTATAAAGGGCATATGATAATATCCATAGTACCCACTCTTTAGGTTTATTGTGAGGCTCAAGTGAGGTAATGTATGCAAAGCACCTTGAAGACATGACAGCACTATTATACCAATGTCAGTTCTAATGGTACTCTCTCCTCTCACCCCCTAATAGAAAGTAAACTCATTGAGGACAGGAGCTGTGTTTTTTGTTGGTTTTTCATCTTTTCATCTCCAGCATCTTGGATAGTGGCTTGCACATGCTAGTCACTTAATAAATATTTGTGGGATTGTTGAAATACTGAATGCAGATGTAACTAATGAGGGAAAAGGCCTACCAGGAGACTGAAGAGAGTTTGGACAGTTCAGCAGAAGTCAGACACTGACCTTGGTCTTGTTACTTGTTATTCTTTTCTGCTTCCCATTGCTTTCTTGGCCAGGATGCTGGAGGAGCAGATGTGGGCTGATTGGGGTGTTGTTCTTTTGGATAAAGTAGGTTTTTGGTGGTCTGTGCTATTAGCATCTAAACCTTTCCTGGCCCTTCTGTTCCACTGTAGGTTTGAGTCATCCTCCCATGCTATCAGCATGAGTGCCTACTTGCGTGAGCAGAGAAGGGAACTGTACAGCCGCAGCGGAGAACTTCAAGGTAGGTAACAAAACTTCCCAGGCAAAGTTATTTTTAAGAGCAAAGTCTGAAGCTTTTCTGGCTTGTGAGTTTATAGCCTCTATTCAAAGAGTACTTTCAAGATAAATGAAACTTAAAGACTTGATAATCTGTTACTTCTATCACTTCCCAGCATCTGCTGTAGGGCAGCTCAAACCGTCACTAGGACCACAGAATTCAGACTAGTTGCTATTCAAGAAGGAGCTCAAGGCAAAAAGATGGGATCAGACACTCCATACTCAAAGCTGGCAGACTTGGGCCTCATCAGACCCCAGGAGAATTCCAATATTCTGCTTCTGTCTGTCATGCTTGATTTTTGCTATTATTTTTGAGGATTCTGGGAGGAGAGAAGGCATGCCTGAGGACTGCAAATGGAAAAATTCAGAGCCCATTACTATGAAAGGGAAGAAGGATAACTCAAAGGTTATAGGCCAGTCAGCTTAATTATGATACCTGAAACATACTAGAAAAAATTATCAAGAAATTGATTTGTGGACAACTAGAAGAACACAAGGCAAAGGAATCTTACGTGAGAGTAAATAACCTAGTTTTATGAAAAACAAATCATTATCTTAATAACACTGCCTTCTATGACAGAGTGGTGGTTTTGATAGATAGAGAAGAAGTAATACATGGTATGCAGTTGGGTTTTGCTAAGGTTTTGGTTTTGTACCAGTTGACATTCTTGGTAAACTGATACTAAGGAACCTGCATCAGAAAAACCAATTCCAAAGACTATCGATGGATAGGGCTTCATCGTTTGAAGAATACTTGTTAATTGGTGAAGTAAAAGGTCATTTTGGGGTTCAATTTTATTTCATATTATATCATGGACTTGGATGGTAGAGGTGAAGGTGTGCTTATTAGTAAATGCTTTGAAAGGTAGGGGATGTATGTTGATTACTCTCTTGGGCTCATCCTTTGGATCACAAGATGAGTACAAGTTAGCAATGTATGAATGTGATACTGGGACAGATTAGTAGAAGCATGATAGCCAATGGATAAGTAATCTTTTTCCTCTACCTTTATTATTGATTGGATACTGATTAGAATGCTATGTCTTATTTTGGTTCCTTCATTTTATGTGGGATATGGAAAAATTGGAAGGTTCCCAGGAAAGAGTAGCAAAAGTGACTAAAATGATTGGAAAAAGAAATTGTTGAAATGGAGTAAATTTAACTGACAAATTCTTGTTGAGCACCTGCTGTATGCAAGGCAATATGTGTGGCCTGATTGTAGGCAGTAGGTTAGTGTTAGGTAAGTGCTACAAATAATGAGTACTAGAGGATCTCAGAGGATGGAAAGGTCACATTTTATTACAAGTGAAACTATAGACAGTTTTACCTCCACAGAAGACAGTTTTCAACTAAGTGACATATACTAACACTACTTTGCATGATTAATGATGATTTAATTTTTTTTTTCTAAAGAAGCTTTATTCCCAGGAGTTTCATCAATTCAGATATAACTTCTTGTGTGAGTGACATTTGTGCAGCACTGAATACATTGGAGTTGAGCAGGGATATGAACATAATCGGAAGATTTTTCATTTCTTAACAGACTTAAAATATGGTATTTGGCAGAAATATTCTAATATAATAACCAGTGCTCACTGAAGTATAAGGATCCCTTTTGGTAATGGAAAGTTATAGTGGGCAAATAGGTTGGGTTAAGTGTTAAAGAACAACTTTGGGTCTTTTGCCAAATCACCTGACAGGAAAGCTGCCCCATCAGCTAACTTGATCTTTTAGAAAATTTGCTAGTATTTCATTTGGGAAGGAAAGTTTCTATGCTGAAGGCTTTTAACATTTCAACAGGAAAAAAAGAAAAGGAAAATCATACCTGCTTCCCATGATAAATAATTGTTCTTTTTCAGTCTTTCCATTAATCTGCCTGAACCACGGACCATAGCGATATCTGCATTTTAGCTTTATCCTTGAAAAGGTCTAATTGAATTGTTGAGTCAGATTGGGAGACAGTGGTGGAAGGCTTTCTCTTCTGTGAATGCTGCACATTCGTAAGCTTCTTTTCACAGCAGCTCAGGCCACAGGGGTTGGCTGTTCCCACTATCACATAGAAGCATGACAAAGAAATCCACCAAAAAGAGCATCAAAGTAACATTAAAAATCTCCTGTTAAAAAAAGTCCCTGCCAACCCCCCTGCCCCCGCCCCACTTTTCATTCAGTTAAAAGTATTAAATATCCAAAAAGCAAAGGAATTTTTTTTTTTAAAAAAGGTGCTTTCTACTCTATCAGGTCTTCCCAATTGGGTCTAAACATGGTGGTACAGGTGATTCATTATGTCTGTTACTTTTAGGGGTGGGCAAGTCCATTTTGAAGTCCTGTGGGATAACAGGTAGATGGCAGACTTTCGTGAAATTCTCTGCTTTTGTCAGTAGCTTCCTGTTTCTTTGAACCTCTCTAGGAATTTCATTCTGTTTAAGAAATTGTGTTGTAAGATAACAAGAAGAGTAATTATTTTAATGAATATTTAGTATGACCATAGCTTCTTGAATCTTAAATTGCCTGGTAAATATTATGATACATAAAAGTGGTGGTTTCCCCCAGTTTTTGTGTTCAATTCTATAGGAAAGGAAGGTAATTGATTAATGGGAAAAGCATATGGCTATGATTTAGAAAGCTCGGTCCCATCTTTGCCATCAACCACCTGTGTGACCTTAAGCAGAACCTCTTATACTGTGCTTATGTTTCCTCATGCACAAAGCAGGAATAATTATACTTGATTTACTTGCCTTACATGTTGTGATGACAAAACTAAACTATATGTAAATATAAGTTCTCATTGAAAAAATAAAAAATGTGAAACAAATTAAAGTGGGGCCATTATTTTTGAACCTAGGAATTTTGCTTTCTTTATTTCTGAATCTTACCTGTAATACTACTTATCACAGTAGGTATGAACTTTATGTATTTGTTTTGGTAAACTCTATAGTTGTGAATAATAGTTTCTAAATTAAGTAAGAGCCCTTGCAGTGTGTTTTCTCCTATTGAGAGGAAAGGGACATGAAGAATGGCTAAAGTGCTTTTGCCTGCTTTGATTTAAATGGAAACAAATCCCATGACGATGATTATTACTCCTGCTTCCACATCTCTGACTACTTTGGACTTTTGTAACGTGTAGTTTAGGCTATCAAATGGTTCAGACTTTGGAATGGTCTGACCTTACTGCTTTAGAATTGATATCTCCCAAAATAGCATCATAAGGGTTAAGAGCTAGGAATACCTGTGTTCTGACTTGGCTTGTTCTAGCTTTTGACTTCTTTCTTGAACCTATTCCATTGTAGTTATTGATTGGGTTGTGAAGCCTTAAAAATTTTGAGTAGCATAATTTCCATCTGTACCTATGCCTTGCTTTATGTATAAAAATCCAGATTTATGATTGAGCAACTAGCTTGTGATTATTTACTCTGCAGAATAATTCACTAAAAGTTACTTTTAATTAACAAGCCCCCTAATAATATATTTAAAGTACCACTTCATTTGTACACAACTTTTCAGCAATGTGTCTTTTGCATAAAATGAGGTACCTCAGTAATTTTATACCTGTGCCATATAACCCTATCACATGTGTGGCTTTACTTGTTTAAACTGGGTGAGAAAATAACTTAAAGATTTGTTTACCATTTGTTTAGTGATTGAGATAAACTATGCAGGAAACCATAAAGAAATAAATTTTTTCCTAAAATGGGCATCGTTACTATAAAATTGTTTCTAGTCTTTCTTTCATGTGTCTGTACTGTTTCAGGCCTTAGAAACTCATATCAAAACTAACTGCTAAATGTGTACACTTAAGTTCTTCAGATTTTAATCTTGCCATTTAATTTTAATCAACATAAATATAACATTTGCTTCATAATGGGATATACTTTCATAGATACTTAGAAAGACCTAAAATCTCTTCGGTGGAAATTTCCTTCACTAGTACAAATTATGTTCATTTCTTTCTATAAATTTTCTTTTAACGTTTTTAAAAATTCCAAGTTCTAAATTCTCCCCCTCCTTCCCTATAGCCCCTCCCCCACCCATTCTTTTTATAAATTTTCTATGGAAATATACCCAATATTCATTAATATTAATGAATTAAGTAATCAATTAATTCATTAATATTCTTGAATATGAAAGGCAGTAAATACTGGAGCTATCTATCCAGTATGCCTCATTCTCACAATATGACTGTTCCACTTCCTATCTGGAGTCATAGGATCATAAAGTTAGATCTGGAAGGGACCTTAGAGATCAACAGTTGGTCCTGCATCTCCCTTTTCATATAAGGAAATTGAAACCCACCCAGAGAGGTGACATGATGTGCCCACAGGACACTGAATTTCATTTCAAGCATTGATTGTTGATGAAGATTTGATCTTGATTTTAATGGTCACTATGGATTCTATTTCTAGTTTACAAAACATTGTTAAACCCCAATCATTAGGATCATTCATAGTTTCAGGAATTATGCTCTTTATTAGGATTATTCATAGTTTTTAATAATTATACTCTTTATCTAGTCACTGAAAAAATACTACATAATACCTGACTGCCATGAGATATGGGGGACACTATTCAACATAAAACCAAGAGTTTACATGCAGCATATGTAATTATATATGTAATATGATAAGATTCCAAAGGAAATGAATTATTTTGAAATATAGTTTTTAAACTATTAAAATAAAACAAGTTCACCAAACCTAGGTTAAACCCAGGTTAACACTTTGTTTTAGATCATAAGATTTAAAGAAAGGACATTACCATTCATTTGACAAATGAAGAAACAGAAGCCCAGAACACTTTCCCAAGGATGTACAGGTTTGGCCTTGGTGATATATTTTTTCTACTCCTTATAGGCAAGTACTGATTGGTTATATGATACAGTACATAGACCCCACTCTATAATTTTCAGTTACTTTTTATGGCACCCCAGTTGCAATTCCTCTGAGATCATGATGTTCATAATTTACAGCC